AGTGCTGTATATGGGAGCATTGACCACGAGTGAAGGTTGTGATATGGGGCAGTCTGTTCTCAATAAACGTCTGAGAAAGTCTGCGAGACCTTTCAGTATTACAGCACATAAAAACACACAGCAAACACCACGAGCCTGATTTGCAGAAATATTTGGCAAATCTGGAGCTCACACAACTCACGTAAAAAGTAATCCAAACTATGAAATACTTCTTTGCTCTTGTACTCTTAGATGAATGTGAGTTTTGCTACAAGGACAGTAAAAAGCCTGAGAGGACTAATAAACACTAAATAAGTGCATAACCCATGGAGATGTTAAATAAATAAAACCATAATACAGGAAGTGGTGGAATCGCCATCGTTAGAAGTGTCCAAAAAATGAGTGGACATGACATGTTGCAATATGGTTTAGTGGGCATAGTGGTATTTGATTGAAGGTTGGACTTGATGATCTTGGAGGTCTTTTCCAACCTTGATGATTCTCTGATTTTTATCTCTGTCAGGATACAGGAAGATTAAATTGGTGTAAAATATTTTACTGGAGAAGAAATTAATGACATAAGCACCTAAATTGAGGATAAAGGTAAGTAACTATGTGGCAAAGAGGCAGCTACGGTGTACTTTCTGGGTGTTTCATACACACATAGCATATTCGATCTCTCCAACACAAATGACCCTTCTCAGCAGTCCAGACATCACCTACGGAACATCATAACAGTAAAACGAACCTGATTTACCTTTGTGCATCCAGATCTCACTGTTTCTTGAGTACCATCTATTCCAGAGCACAAACTTGAAAATATGTGCATTAAGTGATTGGGAAGTTATTAGCATCATTTAATTTTATTTAATTTCAGCTGTCCCTGAGGACAGTCAAGAATAAACCAGAAGGTGAAATTAGACTTAGACTCAGAAAATAAATGTTCTTGATTAAGTTGAAGTGTCTATTATGCTTCTGTTTTAAGTTTCCAGCCCACCAGAAGAATGGTAAGCAGAGCCTGGTAAGGAAACATTTTGACAAGAATGCATTTTTCTGTGGCTCAAATAAAATAAGTATAGTAACACAGAAGAGCCTTTTCAAAGTCAGGCTTATGTGTTTGTCTGATCAGCACCAGCAAACCGTTTCAACTCTCCTGAATGTCACAGAAACACACAAGTTGTGCCACTGTGCAGTTTTCGAGACAAATGTTTTCCCTCAAAGGACATTGCACACATACCAAGGGCTGTACATGCTGTATTAAGTTAAACACAGTAACAAAACAAAATGCTAATTCCATGTGGAAGTCATCCTCTGGGAAAGTTGTGAATAAAGCAGTGATGCACACCTGGCAGATGTTAGTCACATGGCTTCATTTAGTATGGAGAAGCATTTATGTTGAATGGTAGAAAAGCAACACAAAAAGCTAGATAGGATAGAAAAGTTTGTGTGTTTTTCTTTTCCTGCTACATATGTTAAAATGACTTTTAGCAGTCCCTTCCACCTACTGTGATAGGCTGGGAAAGGATGAATGGCATGGGCAGAATATCTCCAGGGAGGGACAGTGAGCATTTGTGCTGGGGTAGTGCTAAAGATCTGCTTTTAACCCACAGCTTGGAGCTTGGTGTAGGGCAGAGTAGCTCAGATGCTACTAAAGGAAAAAAAAGAGGTCTAGAAACCAATTTCCCAGACGTTGCCTAGAAAATACTTATGTTACATTACTTCTCTGTGTAAAAGCTAGCAGAATGCTTCACTAAAGCAGCACTAAGTCAGCTGTAATGCTGGTTTAGATCTGGTATTAACAAATCAGCATTTACAGAAGATCTTGTCATCAAAGGTGGTTTTGGAGTAATGGATCATGACTTTTTTCCACTTAAGTTGCATGGTAAAATAAAAAGCAAAACTACAAATATAGTTCCCTGATTGCAGAAGAGCAAACTTGGGTAAACTAAGGAATTGTTTTAATTATTAGAGATGAGAGCTGGAGAAAGGTCTCAAAGACTTGAAAATGGTCTTACTATAAACCAAACAGGTGCTGCATTCAGAGCATAACCTACATCTAGGAAATGGAAAAAAAATAAAGTGATTTAGAAACCAGAGAACCATTAACTAATCTTAATACATTGTGACTTCTTAGAGTAAATTTAGAAGAAAAAATATTTAAGATCTGGAAATAAATACAAAATTGGATAAAATGCAAACTTGTGTTTAGCAGAAAGAGAGTTTGTTTGAGACAAGAAGTCATTCTCAGGAAAAGATTACTGTAGTATATTGTGTTTACCCGGGCTTTGATTAAACAGATAAAAGGTGCTACTCAGATAACTGGCTGTTTTCCTGGAGGCTAAGGGAGGAACCAGACTGGTAGTGCAGAGTCCATGTGTGCTGAGCATGGACTACCCTGCGTCTGAGTTGAGAGCAGCCCTGAGAAGAAGGGCTTGGGGCTGTTGGTGGACGAGAAGCTCAGTGTGTCCCAGCAACGTGCTCTCAAAGCCCAGAAAGCCAACATTGTCCTGGGCTGCATCAAAAGCAGTGTGGGCAGCAGGCTGAGGGAGGTGATTCTGCCCCCCCTACTCTTCTCTTGTGAGGTCCCATCTGGAGTCTTCTATCCAGCTCTGGGGTCCCCAACATACAAAGGATACGGACCCCTTGGAAGTAGCCCAGAGGAGGCCATCAGGATAATCAGAGGGTTGGAGCACCTCTCCTGTGAAGATAGGCTGAGAGGATTGGGTTCGTTCAACCTGGAGAAGAAAAGTCACTGGGGAGACCTTAAACCAGACCTTCTGGTACCTAAAGGGGCTACAAGAGAGCAGGAGAGGGACATTTTACAAGGACATGTAGTAATAGGGGGGAATGGCCTTGAAATGAAAGAGAGTAGATTTAGATTGTATATTAGGAAGAAATTCTTTCCTGTGAGGGTGGTGAGGCACTGGAACAGGTTGCCCGGGGAAGCTGTGGATGCTCCATCCCTGGAACTGTTCAAGGCCAGGTTGGATGAGCAACCTGTTCTTGAGAAAAGTGTCCCTGCCCATGACAGGGGGGTTGGAACAAGATGATCATTATGGTCCCTTCCAGCCCACACCAGACTATGGTTCTATGAAGATACAGACAGAGAAAGTGAAAGTGGATTCAAAAGAGCTTCCTAATAATAAATGGGAACCTTTGAACATTTCCCAGTCTCCTACAATGTCACTGGATGTACTGTTTATTCCCGGTGCTGAGGTGCTCACCTTCACCGCTGCAGCAGCCCAGCTGATCTGCAAGGCTCTGCCTGCGGCCAGGGTGCAGAAACATGTCTCTGCCCCAGCCCTGGAGCAAGGTGCATGTCCATTGTAGTTTAAAACACTGCACAGCACATGTCCATGAGTCAGGGTGTCATGTCATCCAAGACAAAAAGATAAAAGATAAACTCACCACTCAGGAAGAGGAGGTATAAAGCACAGAAACATGAAATCATTAAGATTGAAAAAGACCTCCAAGATATGTGTAGGAAATGTTACCTGGGCTGGGAGGTTAACAGCTAAAAAGCAGTCAGTAAATTTAAGGGAGTTGTCAGGCTGTGCTTTAGAGCAAGGTAAGTGAGGTGAACCTCACCCATTGAAGTTTATAAAACAATCTGCCTTGGGATAAGAGCTCTTTACTTGCTTCCAGTGTAAGAGGGGAAAAATTGTGGTGTACAACATGACTTTAAGCTGCTAGAAGGATGAAGTCATGAAATGGGCAAACAAGATTTGCTCAGCCTTGTAAAATGAATGAAAGTTGAGGGGGAATCCAATTGCTGTGGATTGATTGGGAAGTAAATGTCAGGGAAGTGGGGAATGTATAGTAGCTAAAGGAGGAATGAGTATCAGGTGCAGGTCAATGTATTCAGGCTGTAAATTAAAATGATTTTGGTAACTATCATATCAAGAGTCAAAAAGAGGCAAGAAAGCCTCCAGGAAGAACAAGTTCTCTGAAGTTTATATAGGGGCTTGATGCACTCCTGGAAAATATATATTTTCGTGTATGAGAAAACAACCTACCATAATACATTAGACCTACACTTCCTTATATAAGGAGATGTAGCTTGATGTTCCCACAGAACTATTTCTTGTTTTACACCAAGGAAAATGTGTAAAGGAAGAATCAATATGTATAAAGACATGAGAACAGAGCATAGTGCATGGATCACCTCCCAGTTAAGCCCATAATGCATTAATCCTGCTCCACAGAGGAGCTGGAGGAGCTGGCTGGCGGCAGCTCATGTCAGGCAGTAGAACATGTTCTACTGAATTCTCTAAGATCTAAATTGAGTCAGTAATGCAGAGCTCAGGGCAAATATTTCTCATTATCTCAGAAACCAGGTGGTTATGGACACCAATACCACCTGAAAGGGGCTGAACAAACTCAATCTCTCTAACCTCCATTTGTCAGTTAACTAAGTACAAGATCAAAGAACCATTGATTCCAGGGACAGCAGCTCAGATGACTTGTTCTGTTTCGTTTGCAAAATTGTTCCTATCTGTGCAGGTGAAATCTTCATGCTCACTGACATTATTATATAAAATACATTTATTTTCAAAAAGGATTATCTCTTTTTCAGGAAACAAAAAACTTGCTATATTTCTATCTATTTATTTATTTATTTACCCAGCAGAACAGAGCAGAACATAGACTGCTAAGTATAGAAAAGCACGTAGGTTTTAAAACAAATTTAAGACAGGGACAAGCTGAAAGTTCTGGACAAGTAATCTGGTCTGATTTATGGAGCAACACAGTTTTATTCAGATTAATAGATTTTTGCATTTAATCCATATTGAGTGCAACTGGAGCATTGGTGTTTCAGAAAGACATTGGAGGCTCCCATAGATCAAGAAGCCACCTCTTCTCTTCCTCAACAGTGTCTTGTCTCACTCATTGTACAAAATCTTTCACTTTGTATTTTCTTTGCATTGTATCTAGTTTCAGTCTACTGTTGATTCCTGTTACTCTGTGTAGTCTGTTTGTGATGAATTAAGTAAACTGAATTTTTTTGATCTCTCACGTAGGATATATCTGGCCAGATGTGCACTTCTACCCAACAGATGGCTGTTCAGCACTAGTCACCATCCATTTGGAGTCAGCTCAGAGAAATGAGCCCTTCCAGGGTGAAGTTCATCTCATCCCAAAGTGAATCTTTAAACCAGACCCGATAAATGTCCCTCTCAGCATTCCTTTCTAGCAACGATCAAGGAAGCCTGTGCTGGCTACCTCTCATGTCACTGCCTGCATTATAGACTTTTATATTTAGGCAAGATGAATCTGAGTCTTGGGCTAAGTCATTTTCCCAGCTTTGAATCATTTCCTTGGCTTCCTCCTCTGCACCTCACACTGATGAGGCTTTGCAGATCTCCAGCAGATGTATGGCATTAATGTCTATGTATGAGGAGCCCTCACTCTCAAGTTCTGGGAGTGCACACAGGGGTAATTCACTGAAAATCTGGTTAGGGAGATAGAGCTGGATTTCAATATGTATGCTGTCCACAGCCTGTACTTGCTATTGATTCCACCTTTTTAATGAGTTGCATGTGGCACTGATGAGAAAATGCCTTAATAATTATGGTCCCCCTGGAAAAAGAGTAGATTATGTAACTATTGATCTTGATATTTTTTGTTCTATTTTTCCATTTTTCTGATACTAAAAACTGCTGCAGCATCACAGGCTTCAGCTCCTTCCATCCAACTTCTTTTCCAACATTAGCCATTCAGCTGTATCTACTCATACCAGGCTCAGCCACTAGCCCAGCCAGACAGCTGCCAGGTGTTTATTTTTAAATAAATACTTACATCTGTCAAGTTATAAAGCAGAGAGCAATGAATCCATTCTTGATGTCTTTTTCTTTTTTTCTCTGTCAATTGAAGAGAACATGCTAAGAATTGCACACTCTCTGCAACAAAAGCCAAAATATTTGTGTACCTGGGCAGGTTCCCTTTAATTCGTACAAAATGTGTTTAAGTGCTGGGGTATTAATCATCCCTCCATAGTGGTTTATTAGGTCTGAAAGAAAGGAGGGTAAGGATAATTCTTTCTTGCCCAATGCCTTACCCCTGTGTTAAGAATGACTGGTTGGAACGTCCTCATGTATAAATATGATTGATATATTTATATATTGCCTACTTGCATGGGCAGCAAGCATGGCTGAAGAGGAACTTGCAGGTCTTTCTGGCTGGGAGAAATAAGAAGGAGTTTTCCCAACAGAGTCCTGATGTTCCACTTGGGGATCTTCTACCACAAGCTGCAGGAACAGCTCAGGTGAACCCTGTCCCCATCTGTCCCTCTCATGCCTGTGTCTTGCCCACTCTCTCTGCATCCCTCTCTTCTTCCCTCCATCATATTCACTAACTCTGATTGCAGACACTTTCAGGGAAAGGAACAACACTTTTGGACCAGTGTTGCCATTTTTTCTTGCCTGTGTCCTCAGAGATGTAAAGGCTATGTTAGAAAACCAATTTTCAGCCTGCACTTGGCTACATCATCTGACATCAGCTACCTCCTTATCTATAAACTGGCCCAATACAGACAATGAAAGCAAATTCATTATGGCATTTATTATGCTGTCTTCTCATGTGCTCTTACCATGGCTTTCTTTTGGGACAGTAAGAATGAATTGCAGTAGAGAAGGGATTCGATTTTTCTTGTTGAATTTTGCTGTACACTAGTGTGGTCAGTGAGCGGAGATGTTCAGGTGGGACCACACCATTCCCCTGCAGCTCCATGTTGCTCTAAAAGTGATTTGTATCCATTTAGTTTTACTCGGTAAGTATCAACTTTGGGTAAATCAATATAATGTGGGCTTGCATTGATTTGAGACAAATCAGCAATGGGTTGTGTTGGTTTAAATAATTGTTCTCAAAACCTTTGGAACCTTTAGTTAAAAAATGGCACATAAGCCAGTGTTAGAGCTACAGATAAATCAACTATTTTTAGTGATGGATCATCACAGGGGTAGTAAAAACTAGGCAAAAGTGAAAATCTTGTGGGATAAATGTGAAAGTGTTAAAGACATGAAACAATTCAGTAAGAATCCAAGCCATGTCTGGTATTTTGAAGCTAATCTTTACTTAGCTGATATAATCCTGCTTTAAAAAAAAAAAAAAAAAAAAAAAAAAAAAGCAGAGTTTTCATTTCTTACTTTATTTTTATGCTTTTCATATCAGAAAATTTTTAAAATCATCTGTTCACAACATCACACAAATAACCCTGTGACAATTGGAATAATGTTTCCTAGAGGATTAGGGGAATTTGTAGAAAGAATCATTGCTTCATGTAGGAACAATCAGGCACTCATTGCATGAATCTTTGTTGCTAATTTCTTTGTGCTGGTACCTTGATTTGTTTCTCAAATTTAACAAAGAAGGGTATGAAGCAACTAAAAATCTAAAATTACAATGTAACCATATGGAAATATTAAGTTAAGGAAGTCTAAGCACTTAAACCAACTGTTCAGGGTATTTTCCCCTTAATGTGCTTACATAAATCACATTAGTTTTTATGAGAGCTATTTTTCAAATTTATAGACTTTTTCGGATGGATCTTCATCTCCCAAGGTAGCATATGCAGCAGCTGAGTGTGTTTCTGCAAATTAAAGACTCTGGAATTCAAATTTTAACTCTGACACTGGATTCATGGATGTCATTGCATAAGCAAGTTATTCATGGATTTTTGGAAATAGCTTTTACTTTTTAATGCTCAGCTTTAGAAAGCTGAATTGTCATTTCTGAATACCCAGCACTCAAATTACTGATTTAACAAGCAATGTTTGTGTGGCAGTTCTAGAACTGGTCTGTGCTCTGGCTTCATCTCTAACAAAATCTGAAGGGGCAAAAAAATCATTGCCACTGTTTGAGCAAACACAGTGCATAGAAGTGCTGCCTGTTTCACTGAAATCCCCCATTTCTGGAAATAGCTTATTTGGGGGTGTTGTGGTTTAACCCTGGTAGTCAGCTCATCCCCTCACAGTGGGATAGGGGACAGAAGTGGAAGGGTAGAAGTGAGAAGATTCGTGGGTTGAGTTAAAAACAGTTTAACAGGTAAAGCAAAAGCCACACGCCCAAGCAAAGCAAAACAAGGAATTCACTCACCATTTCCCATGGGCAGACAGGTGCTCAGCCATCCCTAGGAAAGCAGGGGATCTGCTTCCCAGGGATGTCTCTACCTGGGAAGAAAAATGACATCACCTCAAAAGTACCCCCTTCCTTCTTCTTCCCCATCTTTATGTACTGAGTGTGATGCTGTAAGCTGTAAAATATCCCTTGGGTCAGCTGGGGTCAGCTGTCCCAGCTGTGTCCCTGCCCAGGTCCTTGTGCATCCCCAGCATCCTCGCTGGTGGGGTGGGGGAAGGAGCAGAAAAAGCCTTGACTCCGTGAGAGCTCTGCTCAGCAGTAACAAAAACATCCCTGTGTAATCAACACTGTTTTCAGCACAAATCCAAAACACAGCAGCACCATATGAGCTGCTATGAAGAAAATTAACACTATCCCAGCAAAAAAAACACACAGGGGAATATCTTATTATTTAGAAAAATAATATTTCTAAATAATATGTCTGTCTTTGATGAATTATATTAATATTTATGTACTTAAATGTTTATATTTATATAACAATACTTATATATAATGTAAATGTATATTAATTGTATTTTTATTTATAGACACTATTTCTAATTTTGCTAGGAACGTGTACTGAATATGCCCTGGAGGTTCAGAAAGCAGAAGGCAACCCAAAACTTTCCAACATTTATTACAATATTGAATGCAGAGTTATTTTAACATTGATTTGGAGATTTGGGGATGACCTAGTTCACCCGTTTTGAATTTTGCATTATTGTGAAAATCAATGAGAATCTCTTGAGTGCATTTTGGAGCCATGTGGGCTGAGCTGTAGCTCTGCACAGTGCTGCAGAGAGATCACATGGAGCTGGCAGTGCCCTGTGCCTGCAGATCACAGCACGTGGAGGGTCTAAGGAGAGGCTTTGGATGCTCCACTAGAAGTCAAGAAGTAGGAACCAGACAAAGCCCAGGGCTCTGAGTACCTCACACATCCTGCCAGCCCCAAGAGATTTTACCTTGGAGCTCTTGAATTCACCTTTAACCAGCCTTTTTGCACCACTCCTTATGCAGGTATGGGTGTAGATTTTGGAGTCACAACTTACCTTATACCTCCTAGGTACAACACCAACTTCACTGTACCCAGTGAGGGACAGTGTCTGGAAAGTGAATCTAAATATATTTATAAGGTGAAAGTTCATCACAACAAGGTTAATGAATAAGCAGTACAAACCAGGGAGGTGTGCTGCCAGCTAGAGGATGGATCCTGACTCATATGTCATTCAGTGGTTAAACATCTTTGAATATTGGTTTTAGCACTCAATCTCACCCTAGTGAGCCTTGGAAATTCTTCAGAAAAAGGAGAACAAAAGGCTCACTGAAGGTCAAAGCAGTCGCCAAGGAGGTTTTGTCTCATCCTTAATTCTGATAGTGACTCACACAAACGCTCAGCTACTAGCAGCTGGGATAAGATGCCTTTAGCTGCTGCCCCCCAGCAAGTCTGATGAATGGAGATCACCTCTGGAACATGTTCCTTGAAGAGGATTAGCTCCTGAGGGTTGGGGTTTGTTACACACGTGAAGCCTTTTCTCTTGGCTCAGAGATATCAACTAACAGCTTAACTTCTGAACAAGCTCGAGGCCTACCACCTTTCCTCTGAGGCAGGAACCAGGCCAATTTTTCTGCCAAGAGGTGGTTAGTCCTAGCTATGACACGGGAGCTGTGGGTTGAGAGGTTTTCCAGGGTAAATCCAAGCCCACCCTCTAATACCTTCTTGGGGGCAGTGAGGTGTTATCCATCGCTGGATATCTTTACTTAAGACTTTGAGTTTAGGCTGGCTCTGTGCCCTTCTAAAGGGACTCATGCTCAGCCATGAGCCACAGGCTTGATGTGGGAAGCATTGGGGAAGCACTGCTGTGCATTATGCAGCAGAGATATCACTGTATACATTATGCAGTAATAGCTCCTTAGGCCTTTCTGCCACTATTACTCTCTTTTTGCCCTACATAATGCCTGCTACCATCAGAGCTCCCCTGACCTTAGTTTCCCAAGTCCTATGAGCCTTGACTGCTTGGATCTGGGTTTTTAAATACTTTGCCTTCTAGCTGTAGCCTAGTTCCTACACTCAAAAAAGAGCATTTCCATTTAATTTCAGGCTTTCATGGCTATGAAGTGTTTTGAATAATCAAACCTGCTCTTTGTTTCTTCTCTCACGTGGGTGGGTTGGATTGGTCAGTGCACATGAAGTGCCACAGCTGCCCAATTCACTGTGTTGGTGACGTGGACCTGCGACTGTGCAACTCACAAAGTGGACATGCAGAATTAAGGGGAGAGGCATTGTAATATGGTTGCACATAATGCTTTTTAGTCTGTCTTGTGCTTCTTATTTATTTTGGAGAATATTTTATTGTCTTTACCTAAGCAGTCAAACAGAGCTCTAACTCCCAATCTGCAGTGTTGGAAGCAGATAAGTACGTGCCAAATGGGGAGGTTACCTGAATTACATTTCAGTGTGACAAAACCTACTGCTGTGTGCTAGAGAAAAGAGCAAATTCCCTTCCTGTTTTAGTGGCAAGTGACACCTGTACAGCCAAATGGATTGCTCAACGAACTTCTTTAAATAATCACCTCAGTGTAGCCTAGATCTCAGTCCCATCTCCTCCTCAGTCTCTTTAGCTGCCATGGAGAGGGAAGGGCTGTGCTGTGTTGGAAGGGCAGCAGAATTACAGTGCACAGCAACAGCAGCCAGATTCCTTCAGCTTAAATGGAATTAAAATAGATTCTTTCATTGAAAGAAAAATAAAACATTGGAGGATAAGAGGAAAGCCTGTGTAAGGGAGCACAGCAGGTTAATCAGCTGGGTCTGTGCTGTCCTGTGCAAAGGGAGGTTTCATGGGAGACAATTCACTTGGAAATGCAGAGGCCTGGGTGAGCTGAAAGCTCAGACACATCTGTGCATGTCCTGGAAGGCTTGTTGGTGCATGATCACTGGGCTGCTTTACACTGGTTAAAATAATCTGTGAATTTATCCTAAAGTTGTTGCTTTGATGTTGCTAGAGAACTTGATGTGTTGAAGCCTCCTCTCTTTGTAGTCTTTCCACTTTCTCACCGTGTTTCCAGTCTCATTTCCAGGAAACACTTTTGAAACAGCTCAAGACAGTCATTCCTCTTCCTCATGATAACCATGGATAA